GCCTTTTAGTGCAGACGTTATTTTCCCCCAAGGCTTCACAAGAATAGCTGGTTTCATAATCCCTAGTCTTGGCAGAGAGGGAGTTTTGCCCAGGGCGAGCCAGAGATGAGGCTGGTGGAAGCACAGAGAACTTACAAGTTCTTCAGGATGCTGTCCCACAGGAACTCATGTTCAGTGGCTGTGTCTTGTGCATCCTTCCAGCAGCCTGGTTCTTCCATATCTGCACTCTTCAGTGACATGGGTTTCCTTTAGTATTTCATTTCAGGGTTTTCTAAGGACCTTCAGGCTGAAACAGTGTTACATTGAAGCCAAATATAGGATTTCCATGCCCCAGCAGCACTTTGATGGTTACCATGTGTATTTTTGGTCTTTAAGAACTTGAAAATACTTTGGTCAGCACTGTAGATCTGCAGGTGGATAGTTCCATTGCAGGATCTCCTCACACTAAAAACCCATAAAGGCCCAGCAGCCAGCACAGGTGAGTTCTGTGGAGTCACCTGCCTGAAGCAGGGATGGCAGCAGATGCTCTGGAAGGTGGTACCTGGCTCCTTGTTCACCTCTGCCCCTGCACAGCTCCCGACTGATCCCCCAGTGGTAGCAGCTGATGGAATTTGACACACCATTTTCCCAGAGCAATGGACTCTCAAGCAGTTGTCAGTCAGTGTTGTGGTGCTCCTTCCTGAGGCTGCAGATTGATCTGACAGAAAAACTAGCTTTCAAAAACCCAACAACAAACTTGTCCTCCAATTATTTTCAGTGCCTCCCAATTATTTTCAGTGCCATCTGTCAAATGAATGATGTTTGTACCTATTCTAGCACAGCTGGCTCTGAGCAGTGCTGTGATAGGGTGGCTTAATCACAGCCACAGTTAAATGCTTAAAATAGGTAACATAAATACTCTTTACATCCTCAGTATTGTAAATGCTTCCCATCATTCCTGCAGAGATCACAGGACAGGTCTGTGTGTGCCTGATGCAGGCACTCAGCATTGCTCCCCTGTTGCACCTGTCTTTGAGGATGTAATAACTCACCTCAGCTGGTCAGTTTTAAATGAGAGTTTATAGGCCATGTTTTCAACTTGATGGCAAGGATTTCATTACACCTGCTCTGTAGACCAAATTGTATTTCACCTGGAGTTATTTTTTTATTGGAAGAATAAACCTTGATTGAACAGCTCAATTCATATCTCTGTCATTAGTTGTCCTCTTCAGTGCACTAATAACTGCAGTTACCTGGCAGGAGTTTCAGGGGCTTGAGGTAATCATGTCATTCTTGAAGTTAATAAAGTGCTTATGGTAGTCTTGGGGGCAAAATGTCTCTGAATAAAACATGCTTAAAGTTTAGTATCATTTGTTAGAACTCAATGTTACCAGAAGGCTTTTTATCAAAACGGGCTTTAGGCATGGGAATGGAACTTTCTCTAATAAAGTCATTTTCAGAGGTCACTTTTAGGAAAGTGGTGAGCATTGAGCTATAGAAGTTAATAATTATCTTCCAGACAGGAATGTTATTCTTTTTCACAGTAATAATTTCACATACATGACAAAGCTTGCTTCAAGAACTTAGTGTGTTTCTAGTTGACTTCATAGACAGGCATTAAAATGTTGATCTTTTGTTAAAGAGGAGCAAAAAGGGGACCTACTAGCAGTTTTAAAAGTACATTTTAAGTCTAGTATTCATAAATATATGCCATGCATTTTTAAAGTTACTCTCTAAGTTGGTATTTTCAGATAAACCTTACAACTCATCTTTCTTACAAACAATCAAGTGGCATCAGCTTTACAAAAAAATTACATGACAGTTCAGGTAATCCCCCTGCTCAACTTAAATTTGTGCAATGCACACGTCAGTTTCCTGCTGGTGTCCTGAAGAAAATTATGTGGCAGAGAGACATATTACCTAGACTAAGAGTTGCTGAATAGTACAGTAACACAAGCCTAAATAACTTTATAAATAGTTGAGTTGGGCTCAGTAGCAATTCCTAAAAGCCATTAAGTAAAACACATAACAGCTTTCCTGGAAAAAAGATGCTTGAATGGTCTGAGTATCATATCATCATCTGGTTGGTGGTTGTATTCATTGTGTTGTAAATACAGCTTTTAATATTTGCTTCTTTTCAGTTGAGTGTTAATATTGTTACAAGATTAAAAACCACACGGTTCATTCTCATGTGAAAATGCCATTAAGGACTTCATCTCCATTCAGAAACTGCAGCCTTTTAAACAACACAAGTATTCACTGGGGCATAATTTCAATTTTGGGCTTCAAGCTATTGAAGGGACCGGGTTAAAAAAAAATGCTCTGCTTGCCCTGTAGCTGGTTTGCAAAGCTGATTTGAAGCATTAAAACTGATAGAATTATTAAATGTATAGGATGAAACCTAGGTAAAAAGATTGCAAAGCTGGGTAGGGTGTGGTTGGTGGGAGTTATCACACACAGAAATCGTGTATATGTGTGTGTGTGTGTGCATGAAGTCAGCCCTCGGGCTGCCCCAAGGGAGTTGAGAAATATTTTTTTTCAAAAGCAGAGCAGCACTTGGGCACCTTTCAAAGCTAACAGGACTTAGTGCTCTTCCCACAGCATTCCCACAGCAGGGAAATGTCCTGTTGAAGTACACACCATCCCCACTGGTACTGGGTAGGGCAGCAAACCCAGGAGGGAATGACCCAGCACATGCCCTTCTGTGCTCATCAGGTGATTTTCTGGATGGAGAGTGTTATTGTCTCCATTTGAAAGTGGGTTGTTTCATCCCTGGTAGTGTGGAATCTGATTCAAGCCACAGTGGCATTCAAATTGTTACATTTTCCATTTATATACTCTTAAGTATATAAATTTAAGAGCTTTGTGCACATATTGCTGTCAAGTTGCCTGCGCCCTCAATTTCCTGTGTAATTTACATGGGGCCTTCACAATAAAATCCTATGGAAGATAGTATTTGTTTATTAAGGAAATAATTATAAAAGTGAAAAATCAACAGGGTAGATTTAGAAATAGCAGCCATGAAATTCCCCTTTAAAATTATCTTGATAATGTCTAGTGTCTGTCCTCTTGACCTGATTATATTTAAGTGAATTCAATCTTTTAAAGCACAAACGAGGCCTTGTGAATAATTTAGAAAATTATTCGCTTTAAAATTATTCACTTTAAATACAGTTTCACCTTTGCCAATTATTTTCTGCTATCTTAATATCTCCTTTTTTTAAAAAAAATAAACAATATTTGCATAAATATAATATGGTTTATAAATGTTTACCTACCCTGCTGCTTCATCCTCACCTTAGTGATGCTGCTCTCTGCACGACATCACACTCGTTTCCACAGTGACCTACTGCTACAGGGCATTGCTGCTGGAGCAGGGGGGCTTTCTTGTAAATAAGATGCTATGCTTTCCATCACAGACTTTGAATAATTCACTAAAATTTAAGTGCATGATAACAGCTTCCTCGAAATTAAGCTAATCTGAGGATGGGTTTGGTCAGTGGTAGCATACCCTGGCAGTTACACTAAAGATCGTGTGGAATGTGTGCTATCATCTACAAGAAAAATGTGTTTTTAATAGTGGAACTTCATGAATTATTGATATCACTTACTAGGAAGTGTTTACTGCAATTTTCTGTGCTCAGGAATTTAGCTGCCTATGATGGTGTTTCCTAGCAAGACCAAATGTTAATTAAATTTTTCTCTTGTGTCTCATAAAAGTATTTGCAGCTGCATACTCGCAGAAGTAAAGTCAGCTATTTGCAATGCCTCTCCAAACCTGCTTTTCATTTTCTTTCTGCAAGCACAGGCAGCCTGTCCCAACACCAGGCAGCAACCTCCAGGTCCTGTGTGCCAAGGAAGGGGAATTTTCCAGCTGGGATCAGGGATCTGATTGCCCAGCCTGGCAATCCCCATCTCTGGTGCTTCCATCCAGTGCCTGCCACCACCAGATTCCATGGCAGAGTAGCTGAGGAACTCAGCCCAACACCAGTCAGTGGGAGTGCAGGTGCACATCCAAGCTGGATATGGAGATGGAAAGCAGGATGTCAGCTACACAGAGGAGTAAAACAGTGAATTTCACAGCAAAATTGTTGAATAGATGGCAGCAAGAAAATAGAATATTGCATGAGCCTAAATTTACTGAGGTTCTTGCGCCCTTCAGTTGTGTGAAATCATTTGCAGCACCATTTCAGGCTCTCTGCAGTCTTACTCTGCCATCTGAACATCCATTTATGCTTGCTCTCCTTTCTTGTGTTAAATTAGCTCTGCCTAGAAAGGTTAGAAACCTCTAAATTCTTTTCCCTCTAAAATGCCAAAGATAATATGTCCCAGGCTATATTCGATCTCATTTCTCACACTGCTTTACCTTAGACCTTTTTAAGTAGAACAGCTTGAGGTAACACCACTTTTCTTAATCTTTCATTACTCGCTTGGTAAAATCAGGTAAAATAATATTTCTTACAGCAATAACCAAAAATCTATGCTGGGCATACACTGCAGTCGTGTGTCAGGGTGTAAGGTGGATAATGGTTTGACATTAATACATTTATACATTGAATGCCTTTAGGCAATATTGAAAGATCAGGCTCACAGTGGAAAATTGCTATGTTGATGGGGGGATTTTGAGGGGAGAAACAAGGAGGAATCTGGCATTTCATCCTGCTGGTCTGTTGGGTATTTGGACAAGAATATACCTATTAAAATCCATGTTTTGTTAATTGCCCTGCCAGCTCTTTCTCTGCTTAAAATCAAGAGATTTTAATTGTGTGATTCTACTCCTAATTGTGTAGGAGTAAAATTGCTAGGAGTAAATGGCTTCAAGTAAAACCTAACTCCTAGCACTGCACATCACAAGAGACTGAGGACTGAATTTACAGACTTAGTCCAACAAGTTACTTATTTAGCAGTGGTGGTGAATTCACAAGCAGAGAAAATAGGGCACTTATGCTACGTGTAAAAGGGTGGAAAGCAACAGAAGGAAAATGATCTTTGTGTGTTTTTTTGCAGGGAAGCTGGGTCGCTTCCCACCGAGGATGCATTCCCACGCCACTCCCGACGGCAGAGCTGTCCCTCATTTTCCCAGGTCTCACCTTACTGAAGCAGTTGCCAAAGCCAAGGCAGGGGGAGGTGGTGGTGGAAGCACTGGTGGAAGTGGAAGAGGTCTTGTGGGACAGATTATCCCTATCTATGGATTCGGCATCTTCTTATATATTCTGTACATATTATTTAAGGTAAGACCGACATAAATTGAAAAGTCAAGGAAATAACTCAAAAAACTTAGGAAAGAAAATGTATACTCTCATTTCATTACCTTGTTCCATTTCAGCTGTGTTCAAAAAAATGCTTATGCTGGACCTTTGCCTGGTGGTCAAAAGATTGGAGTATCCTGTGGGTTTTGCTGTTGTAGAGACTGTAGCTAAGAATGCAGGGAAGGGTTTCTCTGATCCTGCATTGGCCTCTGACCTCTTAAATTTTTTTTAAGGATTTTTTTCCCTAGAAAATGTGCATGTCTAGAATTATGTTAGATTAATTTTAAATATATATATATAGTATTCTTTTCCCTGTTGTATGTGGCTACAAATTATATGTACTGTATGTGCCACAGTTTATTTGTTCCAAGAATCTGATAGGAGTTTTCAGCTGGCAAAATCTTCCAAGCATCTTTCATGGATTTGCTGCTGGATGTGCTTTACCATGGCTGCCTTTTGGCATATTTCAGTTTTCTCTATTTTTTTCCATTGCCTCTGGGAGCTTACCTATTAGTATTGTTGTAACTCATGGAAGGGCCATGTTCTTGTCCTCATCAGCTGGCTTCCAAAGGAAGAACGACTCCTGCAGAACGGAAATGCCCCACTGCTACACCTGGGAACACCAAGAGGAAGATCAGTGAGTATGGCTCTGAGCTGGATCTGTTACATACTGAGCTGTTGACTCTCTAATGGTCCAACAGGGTTTGTCGAGTTCTGGGGGCACTGTAAAGCTGATGTTCCACCCAAAAAAAAAACAAAAACAAAAATCAAGCCAGAATTTTCTGTGTAGGAATGAGCAAGAGTTAAAAAGAATTACTGCACTGTCACTTTCTAATCTCATTCAGCCCATGAGGCTGTGAGAGCAGCCTGATCCCAAGCCCCTCTGGAAGAAATGGCTTTTCATGAGGTTTGCTGAATTAACTGCATGGATTTACTGAAAAGCTATGTCACTAATGATTAAAAATGGATAATAGGATGTCCAGCTATAATTATTCTATAATCCCTAATAGTCTAGTAAGGACACAGATACCATGAAAGCTAGTTTAATTTTTTTGGATTGGTGAATTCTTAGCTATCATCAGGCATTTCCCTAATTTGTCCCTTTTTTGCAATGCAGAGTTTTCATACATGCAATAAAGACAGCAAATAGTATTTTGAAATGTTAATTTGATTTTACCTAAACATTGGTGAGATAGATTCAAGTATTTGTAGGCACTTATTAGCTACATTAATAAGCTTACTATTGAGGATTGGAAGAGTAGTTACCATTACAGCATTTAAATGTGTTTTGTTTAGCTGGCTAAACTGTAATAGGAAAGCAAAGTACTTAGGGCTTTAGAGAAAGTGGTAGCAGGAAGGTAATTCTCTCAACATAGCTGTAATTTGCTTGGCATTAATGCACATATTAGGAATACCTAATGTACTCAGTGCTGTAGGTTGTGTCTCCAGTGCACTTGTACTGCATTGTGCCTGGCAATTTTAGGCAATATATTAGCAATGGTAATCGTATTTTTTTTTTTCCCTGATGCTTGGTGAGAGAAAGTAACTTTGCAGTAAGTTTGCCATCATTATATCCCAAAGAACTGTCAGTGAAAATGATTCTGCCTTTTTCTGGAGCTCTTCATTTATATTCCTAAAGCATTCATGTCAAGCTGTAGCAGAGCAGGGGTCAGGTCACTGGATTAGGAACCTGCAGACTGAGTCACCACTTACATAATGACTTAGAGGAAATAACTTCCTTTCTCTTTGCCAATTCCCCTTCCTCTTTTTTTCAAGTCTCAGACATGCAAAATAATTACATCAGTGTTGCATGAAGTAATGGCAATCTGTGCAGAATGGAGATCTTTCTAAAAGCAGGAAGTTTGTTGATGGATTTCTCCATTCCTACCATGTTGAAGTTCCATTGTGCCTTTGTGCTGCTGAAATGGGTGTAATATTGGTAATATTCTATACCTTCTTAGACCAGGAAAAGTAAGTAGAACTCTCTAAGCTGAAAGTTTCAGTTTCATCACAGCCAGTTTGGTTTGGTGCAGCATTTGCTAACTGTGATAATGGATCAGGGATACATTTTCAAGGCTCCTGCTGACAGATCTTGGGATTTTTTAATTTTTTTTTTTATATTTTTGTTTTGTTTTGTTTTTTTACAGCTGACTATGAGCTTGCTCAGCTCCAAGAAAGACTGAGAGAGACAGAAGAAGCCATGGAAAAATTAATCAACAGAGTAGGACCTATGTATGACAGGTGTGTTTCAAATTAGAGTATTTTAAGGAGAGGTTCTACTCTGATTAGAAATTAAACTTTCCTGCATTATCTATATCAAAATAACGTTTTTATTGCTACTTAAATTATAGAAGTTTGATTTTATATATCCCAATTCTTGTTCTGCAGTTTTTTCTCTTTTCAGTATCTATATATAAAATAAATTTTTCCAACTTCATTTTCCTTAACCAGAAAAGCAATTAGCCCTACCTTTCTCTTTTGTAGTGTGTTCTTTGGAAGAAAATGACAGGTATAGGTAAACAGAAGATAAAGTATCTACATTTAAAGTACATAAAATGGCCTGTTTGATGTGACCAAAATAATATCCTGAATTTTTTTTTCCAGTTCTATGGATTATTTTCCTAAATTGAAATGCTGTTATAATCTATGTAAATTCCTGTTAGAATATCCATAAAAATCTTTCTTTAAGGCAGAATTGTATAATAATCCGTTTACATAGCTTAGTTCCACCCTAAATTCATGCATATGCTTTAAATCTAAAAGACAAAGGGTGTAAAATCAGCATTTAAAATTTTATTATGTTAATTAATGTTTCCTACAAATCTGATATCACCAGTCCACGTTACAAAGGAACACTGGAAACAAGTCTGTGTTTTTCAAAAGGAGTAAAAAGAACAGATCAACAGGACACTGCATAACTGCAATGTGTGAAAACTGAAATACCATAAATATGAAGGGGAGGTTTGCAAAAAAATGAGAGCAGTTCTGGTTGTAAATCATATTAACTTTGTCTGGATCAGCCAAGGCCTGTTTTAAGCCATCCTGTAGGAACTCTGTGTTGTACATGCACATTTTGTTCATTTATGCCTCAAACCACTTCTCTTGGAGTGCAGTTTTGCCATGCCTTGTGCTGTCTTGGGCAGACAAGGTGCCCAATTTGCCCACGTTCAGCCAGGTCCCAGTGGGAGAACCCCTCAACTGCCCTGGTTTTGCCAGTGGAACAAAAGGATCCTGCTTTGCCTGCTCCTCAGCTCTGTTCTGGAGAGCTGACACAATGCTCTACACGTAGCTCTAAGCTGACAGAAATAGGTTTATGGGCTGGCCAGATATTGTGCTGGTTCTCAGGATGGAATTTTTTTTTTTTTTTTTTTTTACAGAGAAAATCGGTTTAGGGTCTGATCCAGTATTTGTTCTACTCTCTGTTATTGGCCCCAAGCCTCTATTTAGTAGAACTTCCCTTCTTTGTTCAACCAGACTATTTATATAGATGGGTCTAAAGGTCTCAGGGGAAGTGAGAATCTGAATCTAATAAAGAATTTTCTATGTTGCCTCTTTGAAGAGGAGGGGAAAGGCACCTCTTGATGGAGCAAATTGGAGCTGTTTTCAAACACTTGGAAGCTTTCTTAATCTACTCATTAATTTCACTAATACTGGATAAATCTATTAAAATAAAACCTATGGTTAGAAAGTACAGTTAGAGTACTGAGCTAGGCTTATTCAGTCTGGATATTGATATATTTAAATAAAAAGGAAAGAGTAAGAGAGTAAAAATTACCTGAGCTTTATTTATTGATCTGCAGTTAAACAGAAACCCTTGCACAGAAAAGTCAGAGACAGAAATAACTGGTATCAAAGTTTTAACTCGTTCTGAAAGACCCCAGGTGAGACCATGGCCCTTTATACCAGGTATGGCAAAGCAACAGCCAGCCTGTGTTGTAGAAAGCTGCAGCCATAAACTTAGATTTGCCTTTTTTTTTTTTAATGAGGTTTGAAGACCAACCTCCAAACCAATTGAGGAGACCAACTCCTTCCAAACTAGCATACCTGTTGGAATTGCTACACTGTTAGGTAGAAAAACAAGCTTCCATAAATACAAAACTATCCAAAAGTACAGGTACTTTTAATAAGGCCTAGCATGTTGTAGGAAGAATGAGAAGCAAGGTAAAGACAGCAAGAGGAAGAAAGAACTGCCTGGCCAGGTCCTCAACAATATAACCAAAAATTTCTATTTCTGGTAGTTAGGTAAGAGGTAGAAATAATGCAGATCACCTACCTGTTTTTAAGTCCTTCTTACCAGCCTGTCAAGTGGAAAAATGTTCTTTTTTATCATAAACGGAGCAAAGGTGATATGGAAGAGTCAGAGGCTCTGTGGGGTGCCATTTTTTGGGATGTAGCTGCATTTTGATAGTGATTACTTTAAGATCACAAAGCTAAAGAAATACCAGTTAACATGTCTGAGATGCCATTTTAGATTATTTAGATTATTTTCCCTGCAGTCATGATGGCTCTTTAGGAAATGTTCTAATCTCAGAGTAAGAATAAGAAACCTTTACTTTACCTGTTAGTGAGCTCTTTGGGACTCTACAAAGTGTAAATATTGCCAGTATGAAAAATAATACTTGTGTTGGAGCTACAAATACAGAGAGCAAAAACAATGACCTTTCCTTGCACTGTAAACCTTCTGCATCTGTTATCCTCTTAGTATTCCTAAGTGCATTATATCCTGGTAAATCTCTCATGTGCAGGCAGCCAGATGTCTTACACACTGCCAGCAACCTACAGTAAGTCTTCCCAGGGGCCTTAAATGAAGTCAAAATAACACATGGGCTTTAGTTTCTCCTCTCTGCAGAGAAATTTGCCTTTTAACCAAGGTATTTGGAGGAGGAATACTCTGAAATACAGAGCCCCTGTGTTGCAATAGGACAGGAATGTTTTCTAATGAGGGTATCCCACATATCAGGAATTTTCCTGTATGAAATGCCACAGTGATGCAGCTGCATTGATTGATCCTGTTATCTGAGCTAGCTTATCTGCCCCATGTGCTAAAGAGATAGGCCTCTCTGTCTTCAGCCAAGTGATATATATTCAAATTGGGTACAGTTCTGTCTGTAAAAGGAGGATTAGTTCAGCAGTTCTGTCACAGCTTTAGTCAAAGGCTGATGAAACCATTCCCGTTTTGTGGGCCTCTTAATTCACATCTCAGATTCCACATCTACATAAGCCAGGCTTTTGGGAAGATGCTGCCTCACACCTTCAGTTGTTTGTGGAACAGATTGCCACCACAGCTTGGGGGAAGTCAGTGCAACCTATATATCGTGTTGGGATATCAACTTTTCAAACTGTGGGGCAAGGTGCTCCTTGGTGGAAAGGCAGAAAAGTGATGTCTTGCCTTGTGATCTCAGTGAAGCAGTTTAATCTAGGTAGGTGCTAATCCTGAGCTAAGTTCAGTTACAGACACTGTGCACCAAACCCAGCCCAGGATCAGCACTTCCACCACCATCACACCAACCAGCAGTAGGATGCTCATCTTACTTTAAACCAGTGTGACTTTGCTGTCCTTACTGGAGTAGCCATCATGTCATTCCCATTTAGGCAGAGTGGCACTAAGTACCTCTTGGAGTGCTGCTCCAGTCCCAGCAGCTGGTAAGAAGAAAACCTGAAGAAGGACATTGCAAGCTTATTAGAATTCTGATAACCAAAATGAGGTTTGCATAGATACTAACCACCTAAAGCCAAATTCTGCTTCCAGCTCCTCTCTTCCCATCTCTTCCCTGCAATTCACTGAGCAGCTTACTCAGTGAATCTACTCTTGGAGATTATCTGTCTGTTTGCTCTCCAGACCACAGATCACCAGAGATCATCTGTCTGACCTCACATGCCACCTCAGTTCAGCATTCTGTGCATGCCAAGGGCCATCCTTTCAGGTAACTGGGGGCAACAGCTCCTGACTGAAACACAGATTCAAAGGAGTGCCAGAGGAGTGGCTTGAACTGGCATTACTGCTCAAGAATGACTAAAACCTTAAGATATCATCATTTTAAACTCAAGATGATACAAGCACCATTGGTCAGAACTGTTTTCACCCCTGGTGGCAGCCAGAGTCTTTCTCATTCTGGCCTACTGAGATAGCAGACTGCAGAGCAGTCCTACCTTTTTGTCCATAAGAGTTTTAGAAGCCTTTTTTCATTGCAGAGAAAATAACATGCAATGACTGCTTGATCTTATCAGTTGGAAGCGTTTTTGTTACAGCAGTAGTTGTATTACCTAATCAGTAATAATTACTAGATCCAGCAGTGTAGAACCAGTCAAAAGTTTGCTTTCAATCTGATTAAAATCTCAGTCTTCTCCCTCTAATTCTAAAGGGCAAGTTACAGTTAAATGTAAATGCAATTCTTTCCATTCTTAAATATTCCTTCCTGTTTTCCCTCCCCCTCACCTCCCCACCAGGCTGCATTGCTGACTGTCTGTAATGACAGGATGATCTGTCCAGCTTACAAATTTAATGGTCATAATGAGTTATTTTAGAGTCTTGAGACTAATGACTGTGAGAAATTTTGAGCAGCTTCACAAGCTGCACATGAAGCACAGATTCATAATTTAATTTCCTTACAATACTTCATACAAGGCACTGCACCCTAATTCTTACCTAACACACTTTTAAAGGCAAGAAATTTTGGTAGTGTCGTTTGTCCTGTAACTCTTTTTTGTGTGCCACTTTCATCTTGCTCCCACATTGGCTTTACCTGCCCTCCTTTACCTGTTTAAATTGTAGGATTTTTGGATAAAGGGATAAACTATACCCAGCTGAAGTGCAGAGCACATGCAGATGTTGAGGAGGGATCACACTCCTCAGTAGGTTCTCCAGACTGTGCTGCTGGCATGGACCAAACAGTTGGGTTCAAACTCCTTTCATAGCTTGCAGTCACAGTGGACTGAATTCTGGTGTCTAATATTTTCTAGCAGGACTCAGAATGTTACAACAGACCAGGAAAAAATGTTACTTCAACAACTCAGAGAAATCACTAGAGTTATGAAAGAAGGAAAATACGTAGATGACATCTCTCCTGAGAAGGAAGCTGAGGAAGCTCCTTACATGTCAGACTGGGAAGGTAAGCAAGAGTCTTTGTTACCATTACCTTACAAGAAAAATTGGACAAAGATTACTCACAGTTCCAGATCCTTTCAAAGTTTTGGTTAACTTTATCCTTCTTTTTCCAGAAGCCAGTGTTCAAAACTTTGCAAAAGGTCACTTGGCGCTTTTTTTCCCCCAGCCATAACAGAAAAAAAATAGATTTTGAGGTATCCAACATTTCTTTTAGTGCAAACACTGCACTGTCTGCTGCCCAAAGTGGCATATGAATATTCACATATGCTCCATCTGCTGCTGGGGCTTGGCTGCTCTGGGTTTATATCCTTCCCTTTTCTGTAGTGGGCTGGATTTCATGACAATCATAAAACCCTTGGAAATCAGAATCAGTATGTTTTAGATAACTTACAGTTTTTACTTTTGATTAGTGACTCTTTGTTAGCTCCAATGTGGTAAAAGTCAACTCCAGGAAGTCTTTTAAAAACTATTTTTTTAAATGTCCTTTCCATTCCTTGGTGTTTACCTGCTACATAAATGTGTTTTCAAGATATCTTAGTTGACCTGCTCTGTAACATAATTTTAAATGCAGACCTAATTTTTTGCTTTTTAAAAAGCTTTCAAAAATGATCCAAAACATAAAATATAAACAGTAGCCTTGAGCTCTGTTCATAAAGTCAAGTTTATGATGTTATTTCTAAAATGAAATGCACAAAGTCATTGATGTATCTGTTTTTTCAGCTCTCTCAGTAATGCTGTTTATAGCAAGTGTTCAAACCATGCATCAGTCAATCTGTAGGCAGAAAAAAAAGAAGGATCCATTTAAAGATCTAAGACACACCATTTTTACCTGTTAGCCCCCATAGCTTCCAATAATGCTCAGTTTTCACTCCTGAAAGCCAGGGTTGATATCCTGGTAAGTTAATTTTTTTTTCATCATCTCCCAAGAAGACATGCTTTGCACATTCTTGCCATGGATTTAATACTGTGATGTGTACCTGGAATTAAAGAGCTGACCCATGCACTAGCAGTGGAAAAAACAACTGTCCTGGCCAACTTTGCATCCATCACTGAGGTCAGGATTACTTTGAAATGCTGATAATACTCCAAGCTGCATATCCCTTTATTCCTAAGGTTATCCAGAAGAGACCTATCCTGTGTACGATAATTCTGATTGCTTCAAGCGCAAACAGGACACAATCCTTGTGGATTACCCTGACCTGAGCCAGCCCTCTCCAGAAGAGCTGGCAGAAAGAATGGAGGGCATGGAAGATGAGGAGTATCCTTATGATGAAACCCTGCTAAATGATCTCACCTTGGGAATGGGTGGTCAGGATTTAATGCAGAAAAAGGATGATGTAACTCTCTCCAAGGAGGAGAAGCAAGACCTTCCTCCCAGCCAGAGCACTGGGGAGTGCTGCTGCTGCTGTGATGATGATCCTGCTGTCATAGCAGAGAATGCTGGATTCCACTCTGAGAGCTGCAGTGAAGTAGAAGAGACAAGCCAAGAGGACCTGTCTGTGGAGTCAGAAAATGAAAATGCAGCTCTGGAAAAGCAAAGAGTCAGTGCTTCAGAGGAGACAGGCACACTGAGAAAGCGCAACACCAAAGTACTTGACTGATAGGGACAACAGTGGATGCTATCTGGATGGTAAAGGTAGAGGTCATAAACTGTCCTCCGTGTGGGTTTTGTTCCCAGTGAGGACTTCTCTGTGTTCGTCTCCTTGTACCTATTGCATTCTTGTGGTTCCAGGCACATCTGTCTGAACTGGGAGCCAATGCCCTCTTTTGTGCACGCATCACGGTTACCATGATGCTGTCAGCAGTGCTTTGTCCTTGGGTTTTGAAGCCTTGTATTTTGGAGCAGATATTTGTGGCTCATTCCTTTTCAATTCTGAAGGAGCCATCCTTGGTTTTGCCCTTTGTCATCCCAGAGTTAACCAAATGTCTCTTCTGACTTTTTCCAAAACATCTGTGCTACCAGTTAGGAGAGTTAATAAAATCCTTATATACACATGAGTTTACTGGGATGCTGAAGGACAAAATATGCCTTCTTTCTCTTAGCTCAATGTTAAGTGGTCAGCAGAGCAAATCATAGTCACATACATGACTCTCTCAACTCTGTCATTGCTCTCTATGCTTGAGAAGCTGCTGTCACTACAATCCACAAAGTTCCTGTGCTACCCCACAGCCCCTGTCCCAGTTATTCTGTGTTGCTGGAATGGTAGCCTAATTCATGTTGTGTAACTTGTGTGAGCAAGACTGAAGCTCTGTGAGTTGTGCTTTAACTTTGCCTTAGCCCTGATAATTGCAGGAAGTGGACCACAATGTGTGAGAGCACTAAAAATATCCCTAGAGATTAAAACCAAAAAAGCAGTGTTAAGGTTTGTCTGTAAAGGAGAGAACAGCATGAGGGGGACCCTCAGACTGAAGGTAGCTGCTAGGCTTTTCCTTCTTCCTGGAAACCTGTGGGGGTTTTATGCTCTTGGAATGTTGTTGCTAGAGTCTTGTTGAGGCAACCCCAGGTGTGGCATGAGGAGGTTGCCAGAGCCAAGGGCTCCTGATGGGAGGTGGCAGGTGGTCTCTGTCCCCAAGGGACAGCTTTTCTTGTAAAAGCAGCATGGAGGAAAGGGTCCCTCATCCCCCATGACCCTCCTGCTTCTCCCATATCTGGGCACTTTTCAGGCTTGCCATAACCCGTGTGTTGGGCCACCCTCATGGCCCTGTGACAGCGACCATTTGTGATGTCACCAGTGCCCTGAGTGCTCTGGCACCATAGCAGCAGGGCCCTCTGCAGTGCCCCCCTGCTCTGAGGCCCTTGAGGAAGGTGTGGAAGGAAGCAGAGGCCGAGCAGTGAGGTGGATGGCAGCCCACCTTTGTAAGGGACAGCAGCAGGGCCCCTTCCAGTGATGGCCGGAGAGGAAGGCATGTGCCAGGAGGAGGCTGCGGAAGAGGAGGAGCAGAATCACCCCTCTGCCATGAGTGCCACCACCCTCAGTTCCCTGGTCATGGCCATGCAGAGGCTGGCTCTGTGCCCACCAGGGAACAGTGTGCAGCCCAGGGACATGAGCCTGCCAGGGAGCCACTGCAGCAGTGAGCTGGGTGCCCACCTGCCTTTGCATGGGACAGCACAGAGACACGTCCAGCAGCGGCCAAGGAGGGGGCCACTCGCCCAGGGCCTGAAAAATGGCAATCAACGGTGCAGGACGAGGAGGAGGAGAGGAAGGAGGAGGAGGAGGAGGAGCATCAGCCCTTGCACCATGAGAGCCATTGCCAACGTGCGAGGGACATCCAGCACGTGTCTCCAGGAATTCTGGCGGATCAAAATCCGCACCTGCCTGACTGAAAAATAAGCAACAAGACAAGGATGAAAATGCTGTCACCCTCCTTATTTGGTACTTTGGCAACAGCACCTGTGCTCCCATGACCCCTTAACTAGGAGGTGTTCTTTTAGAAACTTTCTAGTTCCATGCCCACATCCTGCTTTGCTGACGTCACCTTACGTCCTGGGGTTTTTTAGGCCATAACATCAACAATTTGAGACTAGGTTTTTTTTAAACAGTAAAGTTATTATAAGGCATGGAGTCCTAAGAATTTGTTTTTTGCAAATGTGCTAGGCAATATTATGGAGTCCCAGCTTCCACATGGGGCCTGTCCTACTACATTTGTTGATTGCCATGCATTGTATGAGCCCTTCCTTCTCATCCCCTACCCACCCTTCCTGGAGCTCCTCTGCTCTGAGCCACAGGGAAAGGACATGAGTGGACTTGCCTTTCACCATGCTACTGTGCTCAGGTGACAGGAGTTATCCCTAAGAGGGCCACTGAGGTTCCTGGGGTCTGGAGGTGGGGTTGCTTCAGTCCGAGGACAACAACAATCCCTGATGGATGAATGAAGTCAGCCTTGCATAAAGGATATTAGGAGACCAAGCCAAGAATGGAGACAGCTGTTTCTTTGGAGAAGCAGCAGATGGCAGTTCAGCCAGGAAGAAATGCTGGCCTTCACACAGAGATCCCTTCTAGCTGCTTCATAGGAAGTTCTTTTCAATGTTGGGGAATAAATTTAAAAAAAACCAAACCAATAAACCAAAAAAAAAACAACAGCAAAAATTCTTTCTTCGTCTCTTTTTTGCGATTTGGTGACTGCCTATGGATTCCTCTGTCCCCTCTTGGTCTCACAGCCCTGGGAAAGTGCTGATGTGTGGGGGATAGGCCCAGGCCAGACCTTGGACATGGTGAGGAGCTGGGGCCCATGGCACTCAAGGGCAGGGTGAGGGACCTGCCTCCAGTCACGAGGGTGGGGTGGTGGTGGAGCAGTGGCCCAGTGAAAGTGTGGATGCCCCATCCTTGTCAACATTCAAAGTCAGGTTGGCTGTGGCTTTGACAAGCCTGGTCTAGTGTCAGCCTCACCCCAGCGTTCAGCCAAGCCCTTACATATTTCCAAGGAAATGGTAAGAGATGTGCTGGAGCCCTGCTGTGGATACAGCACAGCCCAGTGTGAGGCTGACACCCTTTCCCTGGATTGTCACAGACTGGCAAATGCTCCCTGGGTGTCACTGGAACTGTGACACTGAGGCAGAAACCCAGGAGCACAGGGCAGGCATCCCACTGCATCTGCACCCACCATGGGCCTCTGGGACACTCTGCTTTCATGAAATAAATTGGATTCCCCTGGTCTGCACCAGCTCCAAGCCAGATGCTGGGTGCCAGTCAAGGTGGGATGCTGGTCTGAACTGCTCACATCTGGCCTTCAACACTAGGATGGGGTGTGCCCATGGCAATGCCACCCACCACAGCTGGGGCAACCCCTGGGAAGGACCCAGAGTCACTACCCAGCCCAGCCCAGCCCCCAGAGTACCTGTATCCCTGAACTGTGAGTCTGGCCCCCCAAAACTGCCTTCACCACCACAACTGCCAGGTGCAATTGTCCCAAACATACCAATAATCCATGTACTCTGGGAATCCACCAGGTAGACATCAGCACAGAAAAGTGGATTTGTGTTCATCAGGAGCTCCTCCTGATGGCCATCGTTCCCCAGACGGGAGTTGCCCAATCCTCTTGGCACAGCGTTAATTGTTTGCTCCTGGAATAATTAGGCTGTACCAGACATTTTTTTCCAGGGGTTGCAAAACCAAGGGAGTCCCCTTTTCAATGCCAGGTCTATTTCCCGTTGTTTCAAGCACTAAGAAGGATTTTAACCCCTCTTTTACACGGGAAAAAAAGGAGCTGAACTCTCCTTTTACATGTGCCTTGCAAGGGCTCGAATCCCTTAGACCTTAGGAGTTGTTAGGGCTACTTTTAATACCTGTAACAGAGCTAAAGGCTTTCTATTCCTTTGCAGCAATGTGTCAGAGAGCTCAAGAGCTCATCCCTGAGCTGTCAGTGGCCTTGGCAGCCCCTCCCCAGGGACCTGTAAATGCTCTCTGAAGGTAGCCAGCCTTGCCTCCTGTAGCAGCTCACCAGCAGCCTTCAAACTGGGATTCCTCCTGTCTGAACAATATTTTATTTTCACTCTTTGCCTCAGCTTTCCTCTCTCTGAAACAGAAATGTCTATTTAAAGGAGCATTTTATAAAAGGACCAGCAAATGTGTGTCTCTGGCTTATTAACTGCTCACTTCTACTAAAGAACACTCATAATTTGAAGGAGAGCTTAGCTGATCAAAATCAATTCTCAGAGAACTTTAAGTAAATCGAAATCATAGGTCAGAACACCAGCAAAGCTGGGAATTTGAGAAAAAGTCAGAAGCTCATGTGGATGCCCACTGGAAGCAGTCAGGCTCTTTAAAAGCTCCTTTACTTGTGGTATTTTCCACCTGGCAAATGAAATGGCTGTATTTTTTTGTTAAAGCTAAAAGAAACAGCACATGTGTTGTTAAAACAAAATATTTTGATAAAACTAGATTTTTTAAACCCACAAATGTGCTTAGTTCTCCCTGGATATTTGAGAATTCTTTTGGGCATTCCATGAGATCAGGAAAAAAGCGAAAAGTAAGATCACTGCTGGCCCCAAAAATACTCTCAAGAGCATTAGTTATCAAATAGTATTTTGGAAACTGCTAAATATGTTAGAAGTTTATGAGCTAACTCTTTGCATTAGCAATTAGTGTCCATATCTTGTTTTTTAATTTTCAGCTAAGAAAACTATGCTTACCTTTGAGAACACAGTACAATCTAGTGCAATCATCTATTTAAATAATATTTACTTACACATTCTAAATAAAAAAAATTATGTGTTTCCAAGCTCATGTATCACAAACACTGGGGAAGAAAAACCAGGTAAGAGTTAAAAAAATCATCTGTATATCAATGGTTTTATACTGACCATGTATTTCAAAGCAAATGAATGCAACAGCAGATCAGACAGACTGGGCATCCCAAACACAGCTGGAAAGGTTGGTCTGGCCAAGTGATTCTTCTCAGCTTTGGAGCTTCATCAGTTTTTTAAGGGGGGACAGATTCCTAAAGAGCAAATAGACACTTTTCTCCTTTTTCTCAGTGATCTTCCTGGAATGGCTTAGATAGTGCTGAGAGAACACTCCTTCTCTCTGTTGGAATCACACACCTGCCCAAGTGCAAGATTACCCAAAATTTATTGTTCCTGACAGAGAAAACTGTAAAATTACAGTTTAAATGGCACTGGAAACTCCTTATGTTAAATAACTCCATATCTAGTGAATTAATTTATTGAGGTGTGTCCAACCTTGGGTAGGGAAAGACATTGTTGTTTCAAACAAATTAAGTTTAGTATTTCTGCACAGTGATCTGTATTCACAAACACTGGAGCCTCTATGACACACACCAGGTAAATTATGTGAGAATACAAAAATCAGTCATTGCACATACTGGTAAATAAATACATTTACTCCAGAATACCAAAGAGTTTCTTTAAAAAATTTAATTTGCAAAAGCACATTCTTGCAGGTTTATCTAAAACTCTTCTAAAATCTGAACAAAAAGGGAGATTCCTGACTATTCAAAACAGGCCAAGACAGTCTTGTGTGCAAACAAGGCTGACATGTTACAGCTATGGTGAAAAAGCATGTCTGGTTAAATGTTAGTTCTCAGGACTAGGTCAGTTTTTGTCAAATTTAATATATTCCATTCTTTAAAACCCCACATAATGTAAAGAAAATATGAACCATAACATATTCAAATTCTAGTGTATAACATTGGTTTATTTAAGAAAGGCAAAGAGATGAATCAGAAAATGTTTACTGTGGGAATTAAAAAAAAATAAAAATAAAATTTAAAAGCTAATCTGCTTTTTCATTTTCTAGGGACAGGAACATTCATGTAGCACATTTTCTACTTCTTGAAGTTGAAGTAAACAAGTCAGAAACAAAGGCTATTTTTCTTTACAGGCAGATATTTTCCAAACATATTCTAAAATGGGTATTTCTACAGCTGCTCCCAAACACTGGATCTTTCAGACTGTCATTAGTTGGATGAAGACAGTGTTGGAAAGTACAAAATCAGCTCAGTGGCTACTAGGAACTCTCAGAAATGAACCTCCTCTAGAGTATGTACTTTCTGAGCTACTTCTAGAGGTGCAACAAATTACAAAACATCCTCCACAGACATTTTTTCTTTTGTTTCCTTGCTCTCGAGTATAAGAAATTGTTCCAAAAGTCTTGTGATCATGGGGTAGAGATTGGCTCACTGCATGGATCAATCCCACTGAAAAGTCAGCTCAGAGGAAAAGCAGCTGGTTCTCTGTAATAGATACTTACATGGAAAGCATGAGAGAGAACAACTTTTTTGTAATCTTTTCAACAGAAAAAAAATCACTTGCTCAAAATTTTAAAAGGGGTTTCAACTAACTGACTCTTTTAGAGATATTTTACAATGATTAACCCCAAAGCAAATCAACATCATAGTTTATGCTGCCACTGTGAACAGAGGAGAAAGAAGATATAATTGAAGGAGTTTTCTTAAGACTGTATCCATATTTATATGTGTGTGTGCACAAATGTTTGCACATCTAAACCTGGAAAATGTTGGGAA